CGTGTGTCATACAGCAGGGTTACGGTAACTACACACGTGTGTCATACAGCAGGGTTACGGTAACTACACACGTGTGTCATACAGCAGGGTTACGGTAACTACACACGTGTGTCATACGGTAACTACACACGTGTGTCATACGGTAACTACACACGTGTGTCCTAGGAGATGAGATAGGAGATGAGATTGTACTTCTGAACCGCTCAATGATATGATGAAATGGTCCCAAGTTATGCCTCAATCTCCCCCCATTTCCCTGACAATCCATCTTTCCCTGACAATCCATCTTTCCCTGACAATCCAACTTTCCCTGACAATCCATCTTTCCCTGACAATCCATCTTTCCCTGACAATCCAACTTTCCCTGACAATCCATCTTTCCCTGACAATCCATCTTTCCCTGACAATCCACCTTTCCTCTTTCCCTGGCACAGATTCGCTGCCTGCCCCGCCAACCAACTTAGAACTGGACTACGTGGACACCCACGTGGCGGTGATCTCGTTTGAGCCGACCCGCTGGGTACAAGAGCCGGGGGCGCTGCGCTACGTGGTGCAACTTCGCACGGGCCGGACGGGAGGCTTTGTGGACGTGGTGCGACTCTTTGGCTTTGTTCACTCCCTTCTTTCTCTACCCAGAGTTGTTCTGTTCAGCATGTTATCTCTGTGATAACTCTGAGTGTATCATGTATGATAACTGTGAACTTATGATGATGTGTGATGTATGATGTATGATGTGTGATGTATGATGTATGATAACTGTGAACTTATGATGATGTGTGATGTGTGATGTATGATGTATGATAACTGTGAGTGTATGATCTATGATGTATGATGTGTGATGTATGGTGTGTGATGTATGATGTGTGATAACTGTGAGTGTATGATGTATGATAACTGTGAGTGTATGATGTATGATGTGTGATAACTGTGAGTGTATGATGTATGATGTATGATATCTGTGAGTGTATGTTGTATGATGTGTGATGTATGATAACTGTGAGTGTATGATGTGTGATGTATGATGTGTGATAACTGTGAGTGTATGATGTATGATAACTGACTGTGAGTGTATGATGTATGATGTATGATAACTGTGAGTGTATGATGTATGATTTGTGATGTATGATGTGTGATGTATGATGTGTGATAACTGTGAGTGTATGATGTATGATGTGTGATGTATGATGTATGATAACTGTGATGTATGATGTGTGATGTATGATGTATGATGTATGATGTGTGATGTATGATAACTGTGAGTGTATGATGAAGTGTGATGTATGATGTATGATGTATGATAACTGTGAGTGTATGATGATGTGTGATGTGTGATGTATGATGTATGATAACTGTGAGTGTATGATTTTTGATGTGTGATGTATGATGTGTGATAACTGTGAGTGTATGATGTATGATAACTGTGAGTGTATGATGTATGATGTGTGATGAATGGTGTATGATGTATGATGTATGATAACTGTGAGTGTATGATGTATGATGAATGGTGTATGATGTATGCTAACTGTACGATGTATGACGTGTGATAACTGTGAGTGTATGATGTATGATGAATGGTGTATGATGTATGCTAACTGTACGATGTGTGATGTATGATGTGTGATGTATGATGAATGGTGTATGATGTATGCTAACTGTATGATGTATGATGTGTGATGTACGATGTACGACGTGTGATGTATGATGTGTGATGTATGATGAATGGTGTATGATGTATGCTAACTGTATGATGTATGATGTGTGATGTACGATGTATGATGTGTGATAACTGTGAATGTATGATGTATGATGAATGGTGTATGATGTATGCTAACTGTACGAT